AAGCCCAATATTGCTGTCTTCACTGCTGGACACCAGTCTTCTTCGTTGGTTGTCGTTTTTGCGTTGTCTGGATATGGAACACCGTCATTCAGGCCCCTTGGGGGAATTCCACAATGTTGCGGCTGTAATATGAGCGGCAATATTACTTAGTTTACATGAAGGAGGTACTGTGTTTAAGTAATAATGTTTACGGTACCTCTTTGCATGAAGTAAGTGTTATTTTTGAGGTGTTTACTATAAACATCGAAATTCATGGCCCAAAACACCATGTCCAGCCCGGAGAAAATTGTTTATTAAACTGTTTATGAACTCTGTTAATGACGGTTGGGTGTGAGGTTATACCAGGGAATTGTTATAGATACTTAATCCAACGAAACAAAGGTAATGAGCATCCACACCCAGTTCTATTATTAATTGGATTGGATGCCTATTGAACGCGTACGTGGTTTAATTTAGTTCGGTGCGGTGCATTCAAACAAGAAAAAATAATCCTCGCGTAAATACTATGGAGGAATAGTTCAGAAAGTACCAAGGAGTTGTTATTTAGAAATAACAAATTTCTAAATAACAACTCTCTGGTAGCACGATCTAAATTAAGCTAGCTGTACACATTTACCTGCGGTATTTTACACATCCAGGCACTTATCACTTATAAATTTGCTCTAACTACCGTACCCTTCTACGGAGTGCGTTTGTAGTTAGCTGTTCAAAATTAATTTATCACCGATATGTCTCCACTAAAAGAAATTGTATATGCCCATACAATATAATAGCTATGAATGTATTTATGTATATATTTATTTATATTTACTCGGACAGTACAGTATACCGGCACTGTACGGTAATGAAACAAAAGTACAATACGAAGAAGAAAATTTAAAAACAAGCACACTATGGCCGCAGAAGAGACAGACAATGGTAATTGAGTGAGAATTTATGATTGAAAGAGAGAAAAAAAAAATAATGAGAGAAAGGGAAAGAGTTCAGAAGTGAAAGTAGTTCGATAATGAAAAGTTTTGGGTTTTTTTTACAAAGATTTAAATTTTTGGACGCGGAACAGCAAATTTCGGAGACTCTATGAGTATCCCTTCTGCATGCCAATTCTGTTAATTGTTCAAAACCTGACAAATGTAAAGAAAATCTAGGTTTTAGCAGCTATTAAAGCAAGAAAACCCAGTTGAAGAAATACGATTGGAAACGTTAAGGTTGAGCAAAGAGGTATAAAAAGGGTTGAGTGAAGAAAGAAGAAAATATAATGCACTGTAGAGGTTGAATGCGAGGTATAATTATTTAAATTATTAACGCAACAGATACAGCAATACTGTTATAAAGAAATCATGGGTGTAGTTTTTTAAATAAAGGAATTTGTTTATTCTGGAAAGTGAATGTAGTGTACACGGCAATATCTAAGTTTGTTATTTGCGTGCGCTGGGGTTTCCGTCCGCTGATCGGCCATGTAAAACCATTAGTTTATGCCTAAAGCAATTTATTACTGAGGTTGGGAAGGCTATCTCTGCTCAATGTGGTGGGAACGATTGAAATATTCAGTACCAGCCGCCAATCTTGCCAGTATGCAAACGCATGGCATTAACTGGTGGTAGACATAGCACCGGAGTTCCTCGATTTCAACCCCATCGAAAACATGGCACCAGATGAAACATCTACGTCGTTTTAACAAACCAAAATTTAAGCAAGAGCTGATGGATGGGATAGTCAGTTGGTGGAATACAACTCTTACACATGCGCTTGCTTTTGATACATCAGGCATATGACAATTATTCCCGTCATCGAAAAGACAGGGCAAAGCAACTGGATATTAGTTTCATCCCCACCCCGTCCCCCGCAAGCTCTCTTCAGAACCACCATTCGAACAAATGAGATGAAATGCATTGACCTAGAGCACAGAACGTCACCCATTACAATGTATTTATTTCATATCGGTAATGAAATTAATGAATGCAATATTATGAATTTGCGGTATTTTATTGCACGTTCATAAAACATTTTAAAAAGATGTGCAGCATTCAAAACAAAAAATTGTTTAAAAACGTTTGTTTACATAAAAGATGCATTAAAAACAGGTTAAAAAAACAATATTGATTAATACTTATATCATTTGTAACAATTGAAAGTCTCATGTTACATCTTTATAAAATATGTACACATACGCAAACAAAAGCATTGCATACACAAATAAAAATAGAAAAAATAAACCTAATTTAGTAATAAATAACTTATTTTATTTAAATTATCAATTAATAATAAGAATAAGAACAATAATAATAATAATAATTATAAATAGCAATAGAAGAAACAATATATTTAATAATGTAAAATAATAAATTATGAAACAATAATATTAATAATAAATTGTAGGCCTAATAAATAAATTGTAGACCTAATAAATAGTTTTACAGTAATAATAAATATAAAATAATTATATTCGTTACTTTCAAAAACGCGGTCCACACAGTAATTATGAACTAAAGGGACTAAGAAAAGTCATTGTGATAATATTTCATTATTTATGTAAACATCATCAGGATAGTTATGTCCATGTGTACCATATACCAGAAATGAGATAACTAACCAATCAAAAGATAACTAATCAATCAAACGAGATAAACTGGTTAATTGACGAATCAAATCGAACAAGGTGTGACATTATTAAAGAATAAACAATATGCCTTAAAATAAAAGCAACCAAGGCGTTGTGTGCACACACTGTTAATATAGATAAATAAATAAATTAGATGCTGGTTAATTTACCAATCAAATCGAACAAGGTGTAACATTATTAAAGAATAAACAAACTGCCTTAAAATAAAGCACACACTGTCAATATGGATAAATAAATAATAAATTAGATGCTAAGGGCTAGTTGAACAATGTGAGTTCTTTAAAATTCTTTTAGTCTAGTATTTAAACAGGGTTTGGGCTTTTTAAAATAATGATTTAGACCAATGCCTAGAAATGTCAATACAGTATCATTATTACATTCAACATTAGAGAATGATAATTAGCAACTTGAGTATGAGCATAATCACCATTGGCTTAATGGGTAAATTAAGCATGATAAGGATATGCTGAAAACGGATGCCAGTCAACTCGCCCCTAGCAAACTCGCCCCTTACAATCTAGCCCCCCCCCCCCCTTACAAACTCGCCCCTCAGAAACTCACCCCTTACAAACTCTCCCCTTTACAAACTCTCCCCAGGGCAACGATTTAAAACACTTTAATTTTGGCATAGTTTGGCTTTGCATTCAAATTTATTTTGGTAATTATTTCACAAATATACAGTAAAATTGTATAGTTTGTTAAGGGACGAGTTTGTTAGGGGCGAGTTTGTTAGGGGAATGTAAATGAAAAAGAGTAACAAGGGCAACGATTTAAAACACTTTAATTTTGGCATAGTTTGGCTTTGCATTCAAATTTATTTTGGTAATTATTTCACAAATATACAGTAAAATTGGGGCCCAGTTGACTACTTGGGGCCGAGTTAACTTGGGGCCGGAGTTGACTTGGGGCCGAGTTGACATGGGGCCGAGTTGACTTGGGGCCGAGTTCACCGAATGTCTGCTTACCCTGAAGAGTACCGTGGGAAACAAGTTAATTGTGGGAGTTTCTTCCCGATTTTTTTTAATTAGTTACCAGACAACTAGAACAGGTAATATGCCTACAAAGTAGTGATTTTTCCAGCTTTAAAAAGAAGCCCGAAATCGCGAAACGGCCATGTACTTATAAATTATATTGAAATTATATAACAGGATTGGCAGTCAGAATAACGTTATTTGGGTAGGCAAATTATTATTTTCTTTAATTTTTGATCCGACGACAGACAAAGGTTATGGGCGAGTTTGTTAGTGGGCGAGTTTGTTAAGGGACGAGTTTGTTAGGGGCGAGTTTGTTAGGGGGCGACTGTGTATTATAGTCGGTGGGGCGAGTTTGTTAGGGGGCGAGTTTGTAATGGGCGAGTTTGCGAGGGGCGAGTTTGTAAGGGGGGGGGCGAGATTGCATAGGGCGAGTTTGCTAGGGGGGCGAGTTGACTGGTTTTTACTGAAAACCATCACGTGAAGTTATGTAGTCAAATACAATTATATTAGGTCCTGTTGAATGTTTTTTATTCTAATTGCCAGATATCTGGCATTTTTATCATTAATAAGTTGTATTTACATTTCAAAAGAAAAAAATGTTACCGTATTTATTATTAAATATTGAAAGGAGGTTTATATATAGGTCCGAAGACACCTAAGCTTAGACCACCAAGAAAAAAAAAACCGATCAAAATATATTTTATTTTTATTTACTGCAGCCATGACATTTGAAATGGTAAAATATAGAACTATGGTACTGTTATGATTATTATGAATTTTTGGATTCTGCAGGATCTTATCGTTACGTTATATTAATTGGGAGTATCTTTCTGCTGCATCAAAATGATACCGTAGTCTACTAGTACTAACATATTAGACCTAATAATACAGAAAGAATGATGTTTGTTACAATTGTTTATGTTCAGACATTGACAACAAAAAAATAAAATGTCTATAACAAATGCCTATAACCTAAATTACTAGGCCTAGTAATAATAAGCTTAATTTAACCACAGATAGGAAACGCATCGTAATGTACCGTACCGTAATACAGTTAGTTTATTTTATTTATATCTTTCGCTTGGATTTGTCAATAATTCAAAGTACTTTATTTACGTTTGAGTACGTTAAAATACTGTATATAATTTGGGCGTGCAGTTACAATGTGTTTAATTTATCGATGTGCATAATGTTTTTGGGCGTCGCCTAACTTAGGCTAGACCGCAACACCGTGGCGCCCATGTTGTATAATACTTCAAATAATAGGCCTAGTGTTTATTCCTAATAATAAAGTAACGCGCGTAAACACATTGACCAATCAGTAACGGGGATTACTATACAATAATGGCAACGTGCATAAATACTGGCGAAAACTTAAAATTGTTACCAGTTTTTGAATCCAGCTCAGTAATAAAGTATCAAGTTTTTCAGTAATCAAGTTTTCAGTGTTCTCAGTACAGTAATAAAGTTTTCGACCGAAACAGCATGTCAGTACGTCAACAACGCACCAAAATTCCGAGAGAGGCACTTATGTACTTTCCGGGTGAGGAAAGTCTCGGCATAGTGAAGACAAATCTGATCACCGGTGATATGTATGCTGGAGCAGACGTTGATGTTTTGTGGGAAGGGAAGTTAGTGCCTGCTACCATTCGTGAAATGTCAAGTAAGTACCGTACTTAATGGCTATTATAGAAACGTTAATTATTTTAAGTTCAAATAACAACATGCTATACAACTAGTTCGCGCATTTTCAATTACATTTTGAAGAAACACAAGGCCTACTCTATTCAGAAATACTTTTAATTAACAGTAGAAAAAATAAATAGGCCTACAGGCTACGTTAATTGTGAAATTCTTATATTTGTTCTTGTTTTCAAACGATAATCCACACGAATTGCTGTCTCTACAACGGGAACTGTTACGAAAAGATAAACGGAAAAGAGACGAGACTTCAGACAGTTCCGATGAACATGATGTGGCAACAACTTCGATTAAGAAGATTAACCCGAAGACACCAACCTCGAAGACGTCAAGAAGAATAAAGGGCAAAAAGGTAATTTTACTTCGCGCTATATGTTTCTAGCATATGTAGAATATTTTTTCTACGTAGGCCTATATGTTTTTTTGAAAAAATGGAGCATTACTAGTTTGAAAAAAAAATATTTGGGCATATTAAAGAATTATAAGACCAATTTATCCCGTTAAATTTTATATTTTTCACTTAAGAAAGCTTAATTTAGAAGCAATGATTGATTTCAACAATAGTAAGTAAATAATTATGAAATTTAAAAGGGCGTTATTAGAACGATAAAAAAAAATTAAAATGAATCATTGGATAAAAAGCTGGAGCATTTTATTTAGTCAAGAATAGTCATAGGTCTACAGTGTCTGCCTGTCGTGGACTATTAATTTTCCAATATTAATTGCCTATGTTTTTACTATTGTTTATTTTATTGTACTGTGCTGCTTACTTAAAAATAAAATAAATGTTCAAATTTGTATAAAGCCTATTGTTTATTTCTCAGTCGACCAATAAAGTTATCCACCAAAACAGTATGTCGGTACGTAAACAACGCTCAAAGATTCCGAGAGAAGCGCTTGTGTACTTTCCGGACGAGGAAAGTCTCGGCATATTGAAGACCTGTCTGATCACTGGTGACCTGTATGTTGGTGCAGACGTTGATGTTTTGTGGGAAGGGCAGTCAGTGCCTGCTACCATTCGTCAAATGTCAAGTAAGTACTGAATAATTGTTTTGATCAATTCTACCAGATACTGCTGGGTTGTATTGTTTGTATTGTTATGTTCGTTTTTTGTAAATTTGAAATGATAAAAATAAATAATATAATATTATGTCTTAATTATATAAATATTAATTAAAACATTAATAATTTTAGTTAAGTCAAAATAACAAGATGCTTTACTACAACTTACAGTAGATCACGCATGGTGACTTCTTTTGAGAAAGGCTTAAATAAATAGTACAATAGTAATAGTGAAATTCTTATATTTTCCTTTTCTCTACATTTCAAAAGATAATCCGCACGAATTGCTGTCTCTACAATGGGAACTGTTGCGAAAAGATAAACGAAAAAGAGACGAGACTTCAGACAGTTCTGATAATTATGACGATGTGGCAACAAGTTCGATCAAGAAGACTAACTTTAAGACATCTACTTCGAAGACGTCAAAGAGAGTAAAGGGCAAAGAGGTAATTTAAATTCGAGCTATATATTTCTAGCGTACATTAAAAAGTTGCAGCATTATGGAGAAATTATTTGGATAAAATTAGTTTTTCACTTACAAAAAGTTGATTTACAAAATAGGTATTAAAAGCAGTTAATTATTTCAACAATAGGCAAAGACTTGTGACTTTAAAAGGACATTCAGAACGAAAAAAAAAAAAGAAAACGAAAAAAAAATAAATAAAAGGAAATGGAATGGAAGATGAAACAAAACGTTAGCATTTTATTTAATTAAATATATAATAATATGCCTAATAATAATAATAATAATTTTAAAAAATAAATTTAAAAAAAAAATAATAGTAATAATAATAATAACAAATACAGAAACAAAACCAAAAAAAATATATATAAAAAATGTTATTAAAAGTGTCTTTTTTCTCAATCCTTAGATTCCTAGCGTAGACCTATTATTACAAAGCGAGTCGGCAGAGAACAGAGCCATACAAGAGGGGGACAAGTGTCCATATGGTGAGGGTGATTTTGCTGCGATGGAGGCCACACTTCAGCAGATGGGTGCTCCCGAATGGTTTATGGAATATGCGATAACAATTAACAGCCGCGTCTTGGAAATTATCAACATGATGTCGGAGCTTCGCGATCAACGTCAGGCTGGAGCAGTACCGAAACCTCCTATTCCCAACATTCTAGCCGATGACAGACGACTTCGACGAAAACCATCCCAGTCTGTGAACCAGTGAAAGACCACAGCGACGTAGTAACCTGCAGAATCAAACCAAACGGCTCTTTTCAGAGCCACCATTCGAACAAAAGAGATGAAGCATTATGATGAAATACAAGGTCACCCCACCATTCCCTACACACATTAGGCCTGCAATACATATATTAAGTTGATTGTTAGAATTATACATTAGCACAACAATATTAATTTGACAATAACGATTATTATTATGCCTACATAATACGTAAAAAGAATTAAGAATAAAGTAACAACAAAAATGATAATTAGCATTTTACATTAACACAACAATATTCGAAAGTATAATACATACTCCAAGTATTGAAATACACGCCATCGTGTTGGGATTCAATATTTCGACATTAATTATGTCATCATCAGGAATATTCATTTAACAATAATGATGATTATTATTACTACATATGTAATAATAAATAAAAATAACAACAAACAATATCAGAAATGATAATTAAAAATAATAGTAGTACCGTAATAATGATAATATAATGATGATGATATTAATAATGATGATTACAAAATTAGCGGGCCTAATGAGGATAATGAAATATATTAACGTAAAGTAGATGCATTAGCGTCAACACTGTATAAATAAGAACGATAAAATAACATATACTTATTAATAAATGTATGGAAGCGTATTGCTGCCAATGTAAATATAACTTTTTACGAGAAAACGACGTCCAAAATTCGTTAAGGTCAATAATATACACAACTATAACGCTCGAGGTTCTATTTATAATTTCTTTGTTCCAAAAACCAAAGTTATTTCTCCTTTTACATATTCAGGTGTTCTTGTTTGGACATTTTTAACAAACACCATTAAAAGCTTGGATACGCTTATAAACAGACTGTTAATAAATATTCTTATTTCAACATTACACAACAGTGTTAAAAAAACACCAAAACCGGGTTGTAATAAAATAATATATAAGCCTATTTTATAAAATATATGAACAGTTAAGCCTAAACATTATAAAATTGAATGACATGAAAATCGCACACAAATCTAAATAAAATCCCTAATAATTCTTTTAAAAACCGAAATGCTGCCATTAAAATTATAAACATTAGGAAACTTTGACATTAAATGTGGAAGGAACACGACAAAAAAACACCATTTTTACAGATATTAACACGAGAGAAATCTTGACAACGCATATTACGCAAAGGGGCATACAATGAAATTTTGAAATCAAATTACAATCAAATTTAGAATTGACAGATTTAAAAATAAATAATAAGTAATGTTCAGTGCGCCTAGCAACTTGGCAAAAATCTTTCACAACTCTAAGCGAACCGGTTACTGGGCCGATGAACCATTTGAATTAAAAAAAAAAAAACAAAAAAAAAACAAAA